CGCCCCCCCTAAACTAAATGAGCATTGGAGCCTTACTATATGCAAAGCGTGGGTCTACTAAAAGGGTATTTTCATGAGATGGACGAAGTTCCGTTTTCAATAATGCAAGTTTACAATGTATGCCAGAGAGTTCTTACATTTTCAGCAGAGATGCAGAGCAGTGACATGAGATCCCGGCACCCCTTAGAATTCCGCCAGTCACATCTAGGATTACCTGGCAGGATGTCTTTCTCTGACCGGTCACCATCAAGCCTGGAAAACAGAATATGAATTTAATTGCGTGTACACAGCCACATAACACTGACCGGCAGAGCAGAACACAATGTAAAGGCTCTACTTTACCATAAGCGAGATTTTAGTAACTGGGACACAACATTGTCTCCATTAGATGTAGAAGCTAAAAGTGTGTCCAGGCTCTTCACATCCTCACTCGTCTCCTCCACAGATGGAACTGGAAAGCTCAGTTTAAAGATTTGTTCACAGTCCTGGGTGTGCTGCAGAGAAAAGGATAACAGGGATCCTATTAAAGCTCCACTCTAGGAAAAACATGATCACCTGCCTTCCTCCCACTCCCCTCTAACTCATGCCGCAAGGGTTTTTTTTTTGTTCGTACTTGATGAAGCAAATTATACCCACCTAAGTTCGCCGTCTGGGTCCCTCACCGGTGGAACGCTAACCCAACGTTGCATATGGTCCCTTTTTCACTTAACTTTATTGCGATCACACAGGAGCTAACAATCCCCTGTGTGATAGCATTTGAGGGTGACAGGTTCTTTTTATTGAACCTGTCACTTCCACTACAGGGGTTTGAGCACAGTACTGTGCTGGCTCTCTTGTGACTGCTGAGATGGGAGGGCTGCGAGTGCAGCTCTCCCATCTCAGTGTTCACACGGAGCAGAGCGGAGAACGAATGGTCTCCACTTTGCTTCCCGCTCTACATCCTGGAGAATCTCCATCTCCACAGAGAGGCGGCCAGTGGGGGGGGGACACAAACTGAATGGCGACTTCCCCGCTCAACATTTAGCTCTGCTTGCCCAAAGCAGGGCTAAATGTAGAAATAAAAAACTACTCGCTCGGCGCCTGAGATAGTATTTCTACACCGCTACTGCCCCCTTTACTCCCTGGCCTTGTGGGAAATCCAGCTCTGTCCCCGATAGTCCACTTGCCATGAAGTCACTTCTCTTCTGGATCCTGAGAGAACCCCGTTGCTGGACATCCATTAGTCTACATCATGCAGGCAGGTGGACTTTGCCAGAAGTAAAAAACAGGAGAGAAGGCTCAGGACTGGAGCCTCACGTGACCATGGCTTTAGGTAAGTTAAAGGTTCTTTTTTTTTTATCAAGTGATTAGTTAGAGTGGGTGCTGGGGAGGTTACCTTTATCCCGGAGCTAAAAATTCTGCTTCCTTTTCTCACCCTGCCGCGATCTATGGTGGCAGAGCCGAGTAACAGCCACACCTCTTTAACACAAGCTCCATCACACAGACTTGTATTGGATAAAGAGAGAGGGGATGTGCCTGACCAGTTCTGTTACATTAAAGAAGACAGTGGGTCTAATTCCCAGTATTAGTCTGACTACTCATACCCTGCATACCTGCCATAAGAAACAAGTGGAGGTAATACTATGAAAATGGATGTAAAGTGTGTAAAGTACATGTGACTGTACATCTATTTTTTTCCCGTTACTTGGGCTTTGTAAAAAAGCAACTCTTCTGCATAACCTCAGATCTATGTAGCAACAGAGATAAGATTACCCAGAAGAGGAAGTCAGAATGGGGACACTTTATCCCCCTCCTCCCCTAGCATAGCAGCCTATTTGTTGCAAACAGGCACACAGCCAGATTGTGTTGCAAATTCAGTGTCATAGATGCACCCTGCAGTAAATGTTTACTATATAAAAATAAATAAGGATCATCCCTTTATACACTTGGAAACTTCAAGTGGAGCTTGACCTAAAAAACAAAAAGTCTCCACTTATTACATTAGGGCCCCACCCCCATCATATATTGTCACAGGTTAAAAGTTGGTAAATATACTTTCAACCTACTTGCCTTGACCAAACCTTACCGTCTCTTTGATAAATATTGGTCAATTGTATTGTAAATTTCCCCATGACCCCCATCTTTTCTGTGGAGTTTCTCTCTTTTCTTTCCTTTTTTCTCACTCCTCCTCCCCTTCTTTTATGCTATGATACCCTCAAGGGTCTTCGTGTTGGTTCTAGATCGATATGACACCTACATAATTTCGTTGAGAATGCATTATGAACATAAAGGCTATGTTTACTGTTTGCATTATATGACACTATGCATCTATACTGCGCCTAAGGGGGCTGAGGGTGAGGTCACCATCGTTCCTTCACTGTCCCTAGTGGCTTCTTTTTAGGCTACTAAGTAATCCGCAGGATCTTGCCGGAAGCATGGTGAAGTCACCCACTGCTGTGCTGAAGCTGGGGGTAAGGCAAGTATATTTACTAGCTCCCCCGTCCCCCAAGGGGATGGTAGCCCTGCTGTAATAAACGGACATTGCTTTTTTAGTGCAAGAAAATAATTAAAAAAATAAATAAAAATATCGACAAAACATAGTTACTTCCCCTTTTGGTAAGATAGTGTTTTTGTTATTAGAGTGGAGCCCTATAGCATTTACAGGTACCTACCTTATCTTCTTCATTAAATGGATCCCATTCATCTTGGACATCAGCTTGCTCAGTGCAATGTTCTCCATCGGAGGTAGAAGAAGTAAAAGAGTCCAATTGCAATGCTTCATCAGCATAATAAAATTGCTCCGACTGTGGAGTAAATTCTTCAAACCCCTCAAAGTCTCCCCAAGTATTGGAGAACTCTGGTAATGCTCTGCTTGTGTCACACTCCTCACAATGAGATGATCTTTGAGATGAGGAAGATCCTAAAGATGAGGAAGATCTTAAAGGCGTCTCCTCTAAGCAGACATTGTCCGAACTGGGCAGAACAGGCAATGGCTTATCCTCTGCATCACCGCTGCATCCAATACTACTGTCACTGACATCCTTCATGATCCTTCATGGATTTCACAGGAAATACAAGTCCGTAGCCAGGTACTGATGTGAATATAAAATATCTTCCCTGTCTTTTTAGCAGAAATGTCCTTCAACAGGAAGTTCATTTACTAATGGGGAAAAGAAACAGTCACATCTGAAACATTTAAAGTAGATCTTAACCCAATCACATTTAAGATTTAATATGTTTGTTATTTTGAAATCTGTGGCTTTCATTAAAAGAATACCTCCAACCCTCCCTTGATCGGGCAATACCTGTTATAGGGTGACAACTGCCTACCAATTGTGCCTCTGGATTGTCACATGCAACCCTGGTGAAGAGTACAGGTGGCCGACATACATTGTGTAGACAAAGTCCACCATTGTCACCATTAGGAAGCTGATCCAGAGGTGAGACGGAGAGGTGAGTCTTTTCATTTTCGATTCACTAGAATTTTAATCGATCAAAAAGTTTAACGATTAATCGAGGAATTAATCGTTAATTTCCTCAGCCCTAAAATAAAATATTTAAAATATTTTGAAAAAGTTAGGAAAAAAACATTTTTGGTTTCGGCCAGACATTTTTTTTCATTTTGGTTTTAAAATTTTCATTTCAGTGCACTTCTAATATATATATACATATATATGTAAATATTCGTTTTCTTTTCACCAGAATCAGCGGGAGCTCATTTGGACACACTGCACGTGCTTCTCTGAGCACCATCAAAACTTGTCACTTCCTGTGTTAGTGGGTGTTTGATGAGTCAAAAAGGTTTCCTATTCTCACAATTTCCCTTCAACGATAACAACAGAACAAGGAAGAAGATATTACGAGAAAACAATGCACTATAATTAATACATTTCACAAAACAGTTTATTTTCTTTCAAAGCCAATCGGCAGACAGATATAAAAGACACAAATGAATGCGGCTCTGTATTCATTAATAGCTCATTAAATTATTTTAAATACAAGAATTCCAAGTACCTGAATTTGACCTGATATCAGTCTCTTGTTAAGCAGAGCTCAGCCTGGGAGAGAGAGAGAGAAGTAGCACAAGGAACCAGTTAGTTTTGCTGCAGTGCTCTTGTGCCAAGAAAGACCATGGTGATTGGAGGAGAGAGCAGAGTGGAGGAGTGACTCACCAATCTGCAGCTTCTCCTTTCACTATCTAGTCCAGCCTTTTTCAACCAGGGTGCCGTGGCTGGCTCGTAGTGATATCCCTCCAATTCTCAGTCTAAGTGCTGCTGTATTGGGGATTACAGGAGACGGAGATCAAGTCAATTGCAGGTACTTCAACACTACCTGAATTTAACATTATATTTGATGTACACATAACAGCATCAATGTATGTTTTTTATCAGCCTTGAGGGTCAAATCACACCTTGGCATCTGGGTGCGTTGCTTTAGGTCATGCATTTTGCACGCTTTAATGTGGTGTACATTAAGGCAGTTCACTGACGTGAATAGGCCGCCCATGCTCCAAAAAAAAAAAAAACATGCACCTCAACGTGCAGTACGCTAATACAAATGTCCATTCTCTTATTGCGTTGTCGGCTATGCTGAAAGAAATCACCAGCACACCATTACTGAAATATAAAACGCAACACACAATATGAAGCAGAACGCATGCACAATATAAAGCAGTCACTTTTGGAGGAAAGGCTGTGCCACTTGGAGTGGGGCCACACAGTGAATATCACTGGATTGGACCAGAGTAAGTATAAGACCGGCAGGGTTGGTGACGGGTACTAAGTAAAAATAAATAAAGGGTAACTCTAGGAAAAAAACTTTTTTTTTAGTTTTGAACAGAGTGGGGAGAAGAGATTGTCCTCCCGTCGAGGTTTTATTGCAGTTTAGGTCCCCATGTGGGAGAATCATCCCCTTTATTTTTTTTTTCTGATGATCAACAGAAGACACTTGGAAATAGGAAAGTGTATCTATTTGATATTGATAAGTTGAGGTCCAGGTCCTGACTGCAGTCTGCCATGCGTGCCCAACTATCAAGACTGATTGTATAGAATTACAGATCTTTTGGGGGAAAACCAAAATATTGGAGATGCAACAGGAAGTCCGTGAACGTATCCCAAAGTAGCGGGAATTCCTCTCTAATAAGGGCCCGTTCACACCACATCATCTCCAGACAAGATTGTTTCCGGACCCAAAATGCATCCTAATGTATCCCTATGCTATTTCTGGTCTCTGTTTACACCAGCACAGTCCGTTCCAGACCAGACCAGAAAAATACTGCATGCCTCATTTTGTCTGGTCTGGAATGCAGTGAAACACATGGAAACACATCAAAAATGCATACAAACGCACTGAAACGCACCTGAAAGCCCATTTTACGCTAAAGGGGAAAAAACCCCCCAGCTCTGGAACATGGCAAAAATGGCAGTAAAAACGCTGCAAAAAGCTATGCACTGCATTCCAGATGTGGTCCGGAAAATGGTGTAAGCCTTAGCCAGTTGTCCTTGGTACGGGTCTCCCCATTAGATTACCCTTTCACTTCTTGTCCCCAGAACAAGAGGGTGTATTCTGCAAGCAGTGCATCTGAGTATGACCTGATATCGGCCTCTTGCAGTCCTAGGCTGAATGCAGATTAAATGGTGTAAAAATTGGCCCTTGCTCGACTTGCCCCTCATGACACCCATCTTGAAAGTCCTTTCCCCCCCTCTTCCCCGGTTTTCACCCTCTTGTCTTTTGTTCCTATTCATTATTAATATATCAGTAAGGTTTCAGTTTAATGATGTCTGACCTTTGGGGTTGGGGTGGGGCTGAGGCTCTGTTTCTCATGCCGACGCCTCATCCCTAAGGGCCCACTTGCTTTGTACATGGCTCATAAAACCTGAAAAGGCTGTGATGGCCACAAAAATTATTACACTATAACATGAAATGCTATTAAAAGAACATAGGAACACTACCTCGGCAGAATGGATTTCCGCTTCAGAAGCAATTGGGGATTTTTTTGTTGTATACATTTTTTGAGAGCGGTATGAAAACTATGCACCAATACGGAGCGGGTCTACCTTCAATAGAATTCTTCATGGTAGCTCATCCAGCAACATGACTATGCACTTTCATGGAAATAATAGAATTGAGATCTGTCGCTGTGCCAGTGTTAGTAGAAGCTTGAAAATTGCTTGGCAACCTGCAAATCACTCTACGGGCGATGAGAGTCTCCCACTGGGGAGTTGTTGTCTGCATCTAAGCGTGAGCAGGATCTCTTCTAGGTGGCTCCTCAGTCTAACCAGATCCACTATTGTTCCTCAGAGCCCCTGGGCAGAATTCTATATACTTTTCTTTTGTCTTCTCGTCTTTTGAAAGTCGTGACTCAGTTCATTATGTTCATCTTATCCCTTAAGACTGGAAGTTTTGAAAGGTAACCCTACCCAAAAGCAGAAACTATACTGTATACAGTTTACTAGGTTGGGGGACTCAATTCAGAACCAAGGACTGTAATCATAACTCCAGTATGGTACCATTGACTATAATCATAACTCCAGTATGGTACCATTGTCCATAATGATAACTCCAGTATGGTACCATTGACCGTCATCATAACTCCAGTATGGTACCATTGACTATAATCATAACTCCAGTATGGTACCATTGTCCATAATGATAACTCCAGTATGGTACCATTGGCAATAATCATAATTCCAGTATGGTACCATTGACCGTCATCATAACTCCAGTATAGTACCATTGTCCATAATGATAACTCCAGTATGGTACCATTGGCAATAATCATAATTCCAGTATGGTACCATTGACCGTCATCATAACTCCAGTATGGCACCATTGACCGTTATCATAACTCCAGTATTTTACCATTGGCCATAATCATAACTCCAGTATGGTACCATTGACCATAATCATAACTCCAGTATGGTACCATTGGCCATAATCATAACTCCAGTATGGTACCATTGACCATAATCATAACTCCAGTATGGTACCATTTCCAAAGTTCATAGCTATTTTCGTGAAAAAAAGGACTAATGTGAATCTGGTGATTTATTCATTAGAAAGTAATGAATGCATTTTACATTCCGCTAGCTTAAATACCTGTATGTGCTTCTGTATCAGCTTCCTGTAATGCCCTGCACAGCAGCTCTCCGGCTGGGAGGAGGGACAGTACTCTCAGCCAGTCAGGTCCCTACTGCTATGTAGAGTGCTGACAGCCATACATTAAATTTGGAGCACAGGAAAGGTTTCACATGTCTTTATCATCAAATACCAGGCTGGGCCGGTCCTAGACCAGGATGGATTAATTTACTGTAATGGACTCTACGAAGAGGTCCAGGACCTGGCTGTGCTGTCTGGCAGACTGCCAGCATCACAAGACTGTTGAGTGTTTTTTTTAATAACATACAGATTTTCACTCTTTTCTCCTTTATTGCATCGCAGTGCTGCTGACCTCTGGCAGCTACTTCCTGTCTATATGCACTCCAGTGATGGCTGCATGGTATTTCTTAGGGCGGGTCTTCTAAGAGTGACTACAGTGGACTATGCCTGGGCAATGTGTGTTGAAATGGCCACTTGTCTCTATAAGCAATGGTCATTGAGCCACCACAGCTGGCTGGATGTTAAAGCAACATTGCCACAATGATGGGGTCACCACTCTGTTCTCTCCTCCTATCAGCTACCAGTGTCAGATTGAGAGGGCTGTGCAATGCAATAGAGCCTGACTGGTTGAGCTGGCCCTATCACTCCCAGTCTGTCCAGTTTTTCAGGGCTGTGTGGGAAGGTATCACAAAGACAAACACTATTAGCTGCTTTTAAAATACATTGAATTATTGATGGTGAATAATTGGGGATCTTTTATTGGTGTATTCAGTAAAGCAATCTAAAGAGCACACAGATTAATCCAGGAGTGCAGTAAAGGGAACCAGTACTGAGAGAGGCCGCCATCAAAGACCTTCTTATGGAAATGCCAGTTCACTGGCTGTCCCTGGCCTCAGAGTCACTGATAAGCATACAGCTACTAAAGTAGGGGAATCTGAACTTCTGATCTGCATATGTTTTTTCTGGATCAGTGATTCATAGTATTAAAGCCTCACAAAGGAGAGGGGAATGCTAATGCTCCCACCGCAACTGCCACCAGGGTGGTGGTCACAGTTTAG